ATTTCTTGTGGCTGATGAGCTACAGATCTTTAGAGGTTGTACGGCCTCCTGGCCAGCACCCTAATCTTTAGCTCCTGCCACAGATTCTGTTTAAAACTTGAAATTCTGACCGGTGTCACTTTTAAACATATTGATTTCAGGCAAAAGAAATGCATATAATTTTTTTCTTTTTATCCATTTACTTCATAGTTAATCTGTCATCTTAAATAAGCCCCATCTTCATTTCTTTATATCAAAGTTTGATCTCTTTCAGATCGGTACGGTCAAAATTGTATAAATCTGTAACACTAATAGCATCGATAGCTTGAAAAACAGAAAACATTTGATTGATCATACAAATATAGAACTGCAGCACTCTTAGTGGAAATAGGATAAAGAAAAACATGACTCTCCTGAGCAAAAACCTTTTTTTTATTATTTCTTGTTGAAAGGATCTTGGTAGAATATTACAGCAGAACACACGACTGAAACAGCTGCCATTTCACGTAACACAGTACAAGAAGAAGGATGTAGTTCAAATCGCATGTGTCATCTTATATATAGTATATTTATATCAATAGAAAAGGAAAGAAAATCTATTGCTCCCATGTGTGTTTTTTTTTTTTATATGGCATTTCTCTGCTGCTTTGGAGTGGGTAAAAAAAAGATTCAACAAGACATTTGCACACCAAAAGGAAGTGGGACAATGAGAGTGAGGTTTCCCAAAAACACAGGAACATTGTGGCCTTTATAAAAACCTTACTAGGCTGAAAAGTAAACTTGTTTTCTATTGCAGTACAGAAATAAAACTTGCAATCGCTCTATAAAAAAAAAAAGGATAAATACCATAACAGAGCAATCTGAGAATGCAAAAAAAAAAAGAACACAAGGCTTCTCTGCATCAGAGAGCAGGCATGCAAAAAAAAAAAAGTAAAAATCTGTAAGAGGAGCACTAAAGATGTAACGCTGATGGTTGCAGGTGTGTACGTTTGCGTCGTATGGCAACTGATGGAAAGCCAATTCATTAGGAAACGCTGCAAAAAAGCTGTGGACTGAAAAGAGGGAACATGTCGAAGCTCTGTAAAGTGAACTGGAGTGCTGAGTGTTTGCCCGACACACGACTTCAAAGAAGCCGTCTCTAGAAATTGCTATAACATAAGGCGTAGCCAATCTGTTGTTCTCCTTTTAAATTTTCCTCTAAGGAATAATAGATATATTAGGAAAAAAAAGCAGGTATGAAATATAATCCCTGGACAGTTTCGTCCAAGTTTAGTGTTTTAAATAAGCCACTTTAGGCAGCATTATCTAATAAATCTTATTATATTTGAATATATCTCTTTAAAAATAACTATCTATATTTGATTTTTTTTTTAGTAAGTAAATCTCTTTCAATATTTATATATCTTTTGAGATACAACTCCCCATTTTGGGGTTTCTTTTTCAAAAGCACCTAATTTACTCTGTTACAATCAGACTGAATGTTCCTTCAGTCACAACTGGTCTGAGTTCAAGATTCAAGGATCCAAATGATGCACCCTTAATCAACAAGGTTGACCCTTGAGATAGATAATAAGAGCTCAAGCCTGGCAATATTAAGCTGTAGCTTGGACAAAGAAAAAAAAAAGTGACCACTGCTGGTGGCATCAGCTCGCTGCCTCCCCTTCCGTGAGAAGGCCACACGGGTCAAACGTGGCCCCGTATCACAGGAGACGTCATCAGTTGCCACGGATGACTCGGCTGCAGCAACATCGGAATAGGATGATGCACAGGCACAGGGAATGCTGAACCCTCCCCCCCAAAAAACAAAAACAAAAGTGGGAGTGTTTTTTCTCTATTTCAGCCCTGAGACACAACAAGCCACATTTGAGCAGGCCTCACCTCAGCTTAGCGTGAGGTCAGCACCTGGAGTTTGGGTGGGGTGGGGTGGGGGGGGTGGCGCGGCTAGTAGGTGGGTCAGGTTCTTAGGTGTGAAGAACCAGGCGGGAGGTTTTTTTTTGGACCCCTTTGGCAAATCCAAGCGGGTCGTGTGCTTGCAACAGGTAACCTTGCGGTCCCCACGCTGGGCCAGGCGATTTATAACCCCCCCCCCCCCCCCCCCCCAACACACACACTGAGTTGACACTGTGGCTCAGTCTGGAGAAGCAGTTTGGTACTGATCACTTTTTTTTTTTAAACACAAACAGCCATGGTGAGCGATGCAAGCGCACTCTCACTGGTTGGAGTATGTCACATTTTACTCTTCATCATCATCATCATCAATACAGACTACAGGTCAGCACTGAGTGAGCTCTCACCATTGGATATCAGGCAGGAGGAGTTCAGGTAACCAACTGTTGTGTCTCTGTCAAACTTAACTCGCTGGGCTACATGTGAGGTTATCAATCAGACAATCAATATATAGATAGATATATATTAAATAGAGTATAGTTTATCAAAGGGGAATCTCATACAGAGGCTGACTACTGCAGTCTGCACTCAGTTAGCTATAACATCCATCTAAACTTTAGAAAATGTTTCTCTTACATAGACAATTTCTCAGTCAAATATACTTTTTTTTTTTATCTTACTCTGTTTTAGCTTTTTATAGTTCGATTCGTCATGCACAAAATAGTCGTTCCTCTGTTGTATCTCCAGGCTTTGCATCATTTTGTTAACTTAAACCACCCCAAACCAAACAAACACCTCTCCCTGTGGGTCAATCGTCGTCCACGTCGTCCCCCTCGGACTCCTCTCCGGTTCTCCGCTCGTACATCTTGTCCCGGTGCCGATCCTGGATCTCCTTCATCTCCTCGGCGTAGCGGCTAAACGCTCCCCCGAACTTGCTCCACGCCTTGAAGGGGATAGTTATAGAGTTCCTGTAGCTGGGCTTAACCTCGCTCACCCGTAAGAAGACGCCGTACTTGTTGGACCCGACGTCGAAGAAGAAGCGTTTGGAGTCCACCATGATCGACGTGCCCTCCGGAAGTTCGGTGTAGCCCCCGGCTCCTCCGCCACCGCCCAGCTCATCGTCGTCTCCCCCGTAGTCGTCTATCAGCTTAGCCAAAGCGTCGCGGAACTCTATTAACCCTTGAGCGGGGAGGGCGATGGTTTGGCCGGATTGCATGCCGGCTCCGGGAATGCCCCCCACTCCGAATCCGGGGCCTCTGTTGACGGTCTGTCGAATCCGGAGGAACCGACCCCGTTGGTTCTCCTTAAGGTCGAGGTAGTATTTTCGGTTCTCACGCACCAGAAACTCGCTCTTCAAGGCCCGTCTAGGCCCGCTGTCATCACCGCTGGACGACTGAGCAATCTGCTCCGGGGTGCTAGGCCCGAGTTGGGCGTAGTGCTCTATAAAATCACCAAGATAGTCGCGGAACTCAGCTGCAACTGACATGGAGAGGGTCAAACGACTTTTAGAGCCCCCGGCGCCGACCTCTGCGATTTTGATGAACCGGCCTTTGGCGTTCTGTTTCACGTCAAGGTAAAAGCGTTTGTTCTGAATGTCCAGTCGTTTCGAAGCCAGCTCCTGGGTTTCTGGTTCGCGCTGGTAATGCTGAAATCCACCGCTTCCTCCCCCGCCGCTGCTGCCACCGCGCTCACTGCCGCTATCCCCATCCGCCATCTTCGCCACCAGCAGCCCGTTTCTCTGCGTATGCCTGACCCCCCAAACCCTCCCCCTTCTCTCTCCTCCGACAGCCCAGTCGAGATAGCGGAGAATACTGGACACTGCTTCCTCGGCACTGATTGGCTACTTCAGTTGCCAATGAACAATGTCCTGCGTTTTCATTTGGTTTTTAATCTGTCAATCACTTGGAGTCCTGCCTTCCTTATGACGTTGGTTTGGATCTGCAGTGTATTTACGAATCAGAACAGCTATCCCGACACTTCGTTGCTCCATGATAACCATACGTCAGCGAGCCCGCCATATTGGGACTGACATTTCCTCGTTAGAAATATTCTTATAAATATTCCAAATACAAAAAAGCCCATTAAATGTCAATATTATTATTTTTTGAGCAGTTAATAAAACACAATGATATTATATTGTTTATCTTAATAGCTGTCATCAACAAATAAATATAAACGGCGCACAAACTATAACAACTTAATTACAAAATTTGGCGTTAAAATACATAAACCCCATAAACATGTGTATCTTATTTTTTTCATGAAATTCGTTATATAAAAGAGGTCCTAGTAGCTTTGAATGACACACTTTTAGTTTTGAAATGAAGAGATGGAAAGGCATTTTTGAGTTGCATATCTGCTTTTAAAAATAATAGTAGGTCAAAAGAGTACACAAAAACTCAACTAAAATAATATCACAAATTAATCCTATTTTTAATCAAGTTAAAATAAAACTTAACTAACAAACAAACAAATACTTTAGCTAGAGTTAAATGGTATTTGGTAAATATCTATTCTGAGTAACTAATCATAACATCTGATTTAATATTTTACAAGTATATATCTGACCGACAAATATAGAAGGGTATGTAGTTAGTAATTATAGCAGAGATAGAAAGAGAATTATAGAAATATACAACATTAATGCATAAATAAATCTGCCATCTTTTTTCCAGATCAGATTTTTTTTTTGTAATATACACCATATTTAATTTACTGAGTAACATGTTATACTGACACTTTAAATGTGTGTTTATTTGCATTTTTGTTCAAAAGAATGTTGTTCTTCACTCAGTTACTATCACATTACATATTAAATGCGTATTAAATAAATATATAAACATTCAATAACTTATCTATTGGTCATTATACTGATGGGGCAGAGATTTTCTCAAAACGATCTAATTGGAATATTAGTGCATAATGACGCTGTAAATACAGTATTTCACAGTTTATCTCAAATATATGACTGTATCATACATTTTTGGGATTAATATGACTGGAAGTACACCCCGCACAAACAGAGCCCCGCCTACTTGTTGGTTTCGTGCGCAAAGACAGAACAGGAGAGGTACTCGAGTGGGGGATGGGTGGGTTCTCTGCACGTTGCGCGGTGATTGGTTAAACTGCAGATTCGAAGTAATAACGGACTGTCTGATAGGTTGGCCGGTCTCCCACGAGGGGTCGCGAGCAAAAGATTTGCAAAAGGGTTTATTGTTTCTTTGCTTTCGGGAGCTGAAATTGTTTCCTACCCTCAGTTCTTCAATCTAATTTCCAGACGAAAACAATGGTACGTAAACTCTGATTAAAGTCGAACGCATAGCCGAGGCGTTCAAGTGTTTTTAGAGTATAAAACATGCGGTGCCGTTTTGAAATACAGCTGGGAAATTGTGACTGGAGTGATTTGAAAGCTTCGGTAAAGGACTGTCAGCTAGCGAGTTAGCATGCTTGCTCTCTTAGCGGTTTCTTGACGAGTGTTGAGCCTGAAAGCCAGCTGACGGTTGCACTACTTGTTATTCGTGATATGCTCTATTTTTATAACTCGCACCTTGTTTCACTATGAATCTTCTTTCTACAATTTGTAGCTTTACTAGTATAAAGAAAGCTCCACCAGCAGGCTAACTTGACATGTTTTGTGTGCTCTGTTGATGGTTAGTAAGTGGTGTAGAAGAAGTTATTTAAATGACTATCTCAACGGAAATGGAGCATGAATGGGAACTTTTCCGTTTGCTGTCGTTGAATGAAAACTTGACCGCTCTCGGTCTCCAGTAGGCGCGTCTGTTTTGATTGACGCGGGGACCTGAGCGTCAACCCGCTGACAGTTTATACGTTTATATTGGACCTTATTGGCTTCTATATATATTGATTTTCCTAAGCTTTTATTGTGTGGTTCGGTTTGCGGTTTAGGCTGACATGTGTGACTCCCTTCCTTGGTTTGTTTAATTTAAGATTGGCGGGAAAGCTAAACCGTTTAACCGACGGTCGGTAACGTACGGCACCGAAGTTCGTTTCCGAATCGGAGCTAAAGTAAAGGGCTATTTCACATTATTTTTAAACTAGTATCTCCTACCTTAGGTTGAAAATATAGAGGACGGTGAGACTTGGATTAAACTATTTTGCTCAAAAAGATTGTGTAACTTTTTTTTTAGTATTAAAATCTGATTATAAGTTTGTGCAAAAATAAAATATAACAATGCTATTTTGGTTGAGTTCGTGTATTATTACTTTTAGGGATGACCATATTGACTTGCAGTAATACATTTCAGATTTAATCATTCTGAGCATAATTGTCTTCAACATAATAACTTGGGTTTAGGTAGCATAATGGTGTGTTTACAAATCACAAACTGTCTTTAATCAGCTGGGAAGTGCTGCAGAATAAATAGGTCTACATTTAATTGTTGTGAAAAGGGAAAGAGGGAATTAAAGTTTTCTAAATAAATAAAAAATGTGTTTTAATATATATTTCCTAGGTCTACAATAGTGTAGGTCAGGTTTATATAGTTTAACTGGTTTAAGGATGATCCAGATTTTGTTAAAGATGTGAAATCGCCCTTTATCTAATTCTAAGCTTATAATTAAAATATAAACCTCCATCTGTTAGAGGCCTGAACAGCTTATTTATAGGAATCTCCTGCTTCTTATAAAATCACCAGTATTGTTTATAATAACTGCATTTGAAAAAAAAAATTTAACTTGAGTTTCATCTCATTTTATGCACACAACCAGTTTTATCTTCTACCTAATTCTGCTAGTTTATTGTTAATGGTTTGCTCACTTTATTACTTTATTTTCTATGCAGGCTGGTGGTAAGGCAGGAAAAGACAGCGGGAAAGCCAAGGCGAAGGCAGTGTCGCGCTCCCAGAGGGCTGGGCTGCAGGTAAATATCCATTCACTTCAGTTTGGCAGTTTGTGGTGTTTGCTGCAGGTGTTAAACGAGCTTGAACTGAAAGATTTAGTTGCTTTGGTTTATTCAAACCGCTGCCTTGTATCTGTTTCCTGACAGTTCCCAGTGGGTCGTATCCACAGACACTTGAAGACTCGCACAACCAGCCATGGTCGTGTTGGAGCCACAGCAGCTGTTTACAGTGCTGCCATCCTCGAGTACCTCACTGCTGAAGTAAGTCCTTCCTTCTGTAGGCATGTTTCTGCTTTGTTTTTGTTCCAATGTTGTTGTGTTTTTAAAACAGCTTATTATCTGATTAGGTACTAGAGTTGGCAGGAAATGCCTCCAAAGACTTGAAAGTGAAGCGTATAACTCCCCGTCACTTGCAGCTGGCAATCCGTGGTGATGAGGAGTTGGATTCTCTTATCAAAGCAACAATTGCTGGTGGAGGTAAGCAACGTTGTATACAAGCCATATTCAACATGCATTTTTATACTAGGTTTCGTGACTGTGCAGTCATGTCACATGACTTTGGTCATATTTGGGTGATTTGTTTATTTTTAGGTGTCATCCCCCACATCCACAAATCCCTTATTGGGAAGAAGGGCCAGCAGAAGACTGCATAGGCGCCACGTTGACCGGATATTTGGGGGCTTGGGCTTTGTTTGGACCAGGAGTTCATGTTTTGTTCTTTTCTATTATTAATATTATAGCAAACGAAGAGTGATTGTTAGACTTTGTGTTGGTATATTTCTCCCGTAAATAGATAAGTACAGAAAATCCCTTAACAGCAGTAAACCCTTTTTTTTATGTCATTGTAGACTGTTTGACTGGAGAGTTCATGATTATTGAAATGGACAGTGAATTTGTTCGATTGGCTTGGATATATGTGATGTTTTATACTGAAATTGTTTAAAAAAAGTCTTTGGTATAAAAAAAAAACTTGTTTTGTGGTTATTTTTTTCTTAAAGTTACAATATTTCCTAACCTGTTTTTTAAAGACTCTGAGTTTTGGAGGTTTAATTGGGCCACAGCAGGTAAATGTGACCTTTTTCTTCCCTTTTCAATTAATGTAATATTTTTTTAACTGCACAGAGATACTGGTTTTGAAAGTTTTTTTTTGCATCAAAATATCAAACAAGTACTGTACCAGTCTATACAGTGTTTTTTTTTTTCTTCTTTTTTTCTCTCTTTGTAAATGTTTACAGTGTTCTAAAGCTTGTTAAACTTGAAAATACGTATTGACAGATGTGATCACGAAACACTGACCCAACAGTGTTTTGTTTTTTTTGTTTTTTTCTTTCTCGCTCTGGAACAAAAAGGTTTTGTTTTTTCTTTACTGCTGATGTCTGACGGTGAAGCTGACAGCCGAGATATTGGTGAGAATTTTAACCAAGATTAATTGCATTTTTTTTATGTATTGGCAGACCGAACTGTCCTCATATGTCCATTTCATTTTTTTTTTCTTACAAGTTGAAGCGTTTTCTAATACTTGCGTGTTCAGGACAATGACTGCATATTTTATCTTTTAATAAATATCCTTGACATGTTCATTGCCTTGTTTGAAACCTGTACCTTGATGGTTTAACTATTTTTCAGCAGGTGGTTAAAGCTAAAGCACGGTTCACCAACACAATATGTAAGCTCAACTGTTTGCACATTTCCTTTACATCCTATGGATATGTAATCCACTAAAAGTAGAAAAAAATAAGACAATTTTCTGGTGCTTGGTTGAAGCCTTTCCAGTAGAATTGCCACTTAACACCAGCAGGGGGAGTTGCAAGTTCATTTAAGTAATATAAAATGCCAAACATTCCTTTTGCAAAGCACCTAATTCTGCATTTCAGAATGACTTCAAGGTGGATGGATTGTTGTAATAAGGAGCAATGAAAATATGTAGGTTTTAAAAGCTCAGTGGTTTAAAAGAAATGCACAGGGGGTAAAAGTATCAGTATATGGCATGCACAGTATAGCATACATTGGAATAAATTACAACCAGTTCATATTTTAAGGTTATACACCTCAGAATATGACAATCTGGTCTTTCATTTGAAAAATTATTTAAATCTCAGCTTAAATGAACCAAAAATAAGCAGCGTGAAAGCTGCGTGTTTATATCAAGGAACACATTTTTTGTTGCTGTTGGGATTTTAAAACAAAATGACGGCTTATCAAGTTCACTTGGTTCATCACCATCAGGAAGAGAGCCTCCCTCTCTTATCAGTTAAATGTTATTATTTTTTTAAGAAAAAGACACGGGGTTTCTGACTGCTTTGTTATCAGCACACACAGATCTGCAAAACAAAGGAATAATAGACAACTGATTTGAAACTTAAGGACTTAAGAAAAGCTTCACACTGACTGCAGTCGTTCCTGCAGATTTTCTATTGAAGTTGTGGCTTCACTACCTTAATAAAGGCAGTTCCCCATTTGTTTTCCCTTCCTGTGTCACCTGCTGGTTCTCTGCTGGTGGAGCTGCTTGTGTTTCCTTGAAGGACCAATGTTGTAGCAATAAAGAAAGTCATGTTACATTTAGCATTTTATAAGCTTTAATTTCAGTCACTTAAAACAAGGAACCCTGCATTAAAAGCCTGTCTTGCTTTTTCAACAGTAAGAATGCTATAATGATTATAACATGATGCATCTGCTGAAACCAGCGATATGGCTCAGACAAAAGCAGATTTCAGAGTATCTGCAATACACTCCAATAAAACAGCTCAGGCCCTGAGGGCGATTAGTTTAACTCTTAAAATAGCTTTAAGAGGCACAGTGTACAATAAAAGATTTAACTCTAACAGGCTTCTTAGTAAATTCCCATTTGTAGTCCCTGTCATACAAGGACAAGTAAAATAAATAGGATCTTTGTACAGAAACTATGGTAGAACTTATTTTAAGATTATGTTTATAAGATACCAACCAAATGTCACAACACATCAGTTTAATATTAATATAATGCATAATCATCTATTTAGGTAAACAAACATTTTTGACAGATTAAATGGTTGAATTTTTCCCTTAAGTCTGTCTCTCTTTTGTTTGCATAATAAAGTAGTAATCTGATCAAAATCAGAGCAGGCATGAGGATGTAGATATCTCATTTCCAAAAGTGACTTTTGTTGTGCAAGATACGTATTTTGAAGATGTTTAGCAGATAGATTTAATTTTTTGGTGCATGTATTTTTAGTCACTTTTTTATTCATTAGACTACAATTATTGTAATTGATCAACCTATTGACTTGTCTCAATGTTAATGAACAGCATAGTCTAGTTACCAAAAGCAATGGCAATATTTATTGCATAATACTTCTAAATTGTCAGAACAGTGTGAAATGGTCTGCAGACTTTTAGACCTATGTAAACAGGCTCTGCCATGAACTCTGATGTGTTAGCATTGCTGAGTGTTCATCTGAGCAAGGCGGGTGAATGTTGCGCTCTTGATTACTTGTTCACGTAAAATATTTGCCTTTTTTTTGGTCCATTTTGGCAAAAAGAAAAAAACTAATAATTCTAGATTTCTGCTGGTGGTTTTTTTTTTTTTTTTTTTTAAACCTTTATTTTACCAGGAAGTCCTTTGAGATAAAATCTCTTTTTCAAGGGAGACCTGGCCAAGAGGCAGCAGTACAATAAGACATGGTGTAGAGAAGCTGACATTGTCTCTGGGATCAGTTTATATAAACAAATTTGAATGTTAGTGGACCTGAACTGTGTGCATTGATATACATTCATGAATCATTTCCTGAAACATTTTACTTAAATACTCGAAAGACTAAATTGCATGCATACTGTTCCAAACCACAACCAGCCATTATTACAAGAAAAACCAAAACAAAACTTTTACGGTTACTTAATTTTGCAGCATAACATGATCCGTAAGGATGGACGCGGGTCAAAAATAGAGACAAACCATCCCTTTTTGATCTGTTCCTCAATCAATATTATAGTTACTGATTATTTCCCTGTTTGTGTGCCAAACCTCCCAGGGATGCTCCTGCTTTACATTTTTTCAGAATAAACAGCCGAAACATTCATCTTTTCCAGTTCGAGTCTGAAAAGGCTCCCCATCCTGCTGTGAACTGAGGCAGAAAACAGCGGGAGGAAAAACAGGTAATGCTGTAGGAAAATGTTAGGGAAGCAAACATTTCAGAAAATAAAAGAAGAACTTTAGGGATTTCAAAAATAACAACACTAACGAAAGAAAAAGACATTCCTAGAATATATTTCAAAGGCATTCCATGGGTTTTTAGACATGTCTGCACTTCTTTAAAAGCAATTTCTAATTTCTTTTTTTTTTTTTTCTTCATATGTTTGATTTGGGTATTTTGGTAACAAATAAATGTAAACCTAAGAATGACCAATTAATGCCTCTTATTAGAGAAACTAATCAAATAATAGTGCAACATAGCTGGTAGAACAATCTATAGAAATAAATAAATGATTTAAAACTACATGGATGGATTGAAGATCTGCTGTTTGGCAATCAGTTCTTTGTGGAACTGGGAATGTGTATTCTTCTGATAATTTTTTCTGTTTCCCTCCATTTTGTTTTGTTTTTTCTTCTGTTTTCTCAGATATTTTTCAACACCACATTTCATTTCCATAATATCGTCCACTTTTTTTTTTTTTCTCTCAAGTGACTTCTCCTACATTTCCCTTCCCTAAACTTCTCTAAATTCACTTCCAACATCAAACTGGGAAGTCGAGTTGTTTTTACCTATGTATTTCTGAGGATTCAGGACTCAAATTATTAAAGTAAAATCAATTTAACTTAAATTTTTACATCACTTTAGTGGTACAGTTTAAAATAGATTATGGTTGAAATTAAGTATTATTTCCTTCCCTTTTCTCCACATTCTTTATGCGGCTCTAGGTTTACTTTGTGTCAAACACTGAAATAATTGAGTTTAAAAAATCTGCATCCGTTTTTGAGCAAACTGAAGGGTAAGCTGCACAGGTAAAGAATCGTAGACAGAGGTTAGAGCAGCACACAGGTCAGGATGTCAGCACAGGAGAACTGGACCATGAACCAGTAGAAGAAGGAAGTTTTCTCTCCATTAATCCGGAAGACCTGGTATGTGGATGAATCATGGGCAGGAAGTCCTGGACCATCCACCCTGTCATGGATACAATATCTGTTGATCTTTTTGTGGCGTTTTTCAGCAGGAAAACACACCGTGTCTGAAAGCCAGACTACTTCTCGACATGTTTATTTCGAGGTGTTTACTTAATCTCCAGATTTCATGGATCTTAATATAATTGTAGTTTTTAAAGGTTCAACCATACATCCACTGCAATCAGCTTAAAGGGTCTGCTGCTATTGCTGCCAGAAACCCAATTGAATCACACCAGAAGGAGACCAACACACTATTAAGGTGTTGGTCATAATAATTTGCCTGACAAGTGCCTGCTTTTGTGAATTATTACCAACGCTGCCTTTATGAACTAACTTATGTGATATAATGGTTTTAAAATAGCTGTTTTTGAAAACAAAGCAGGAGGAAAGTGTGTTGCTGAATGTTTGTCTATAAAAACATTAGACTCTGGTTCATTTTTGTGTTTGTAAAGAAAGCAACAACAAAAAAAAACACCTACAGATGTGTCATTTTGTCGATTAATTAATTTCCAATACGCTGTGCTTCTCTAGTTATTTCCTTTGCATTTATTTTGCCTGAGGAGTCATAAAAAATGTCTGTCACCAGTTGCAAATGATGTGCAGAGATGAGCGATGCGTCGTAGGGGAAACGAACGCTCTGAGAATGTCAGAAACAATGGAGAAAAGCTTGTTCCTTACCAACCAAGTTCTGTTTACTCCTTTCTGGCACCGAAGTCTAATGGCTCTGAGGCCCTGATGATTAGATCGGTGGTAACTCACAGCCGACTGACAGGGGAGAAATCATGGCAGCACCAACAAATCTGACCTTTGCAGAAACTTCTCCGACATCCAGAGACCTCTGATCTGAATCACTGATCTGATGTGTGCTATCCAATTATCCATCACCCACGCAGGATTTAGCTCATGGGACGCCTCATTTTTCTAAAGCAGAGTCAGATCGCTGCTGCTTTATTATTTTGCAGAGAAGACAGGCTCACTTTACTGCATTTACCCTGAAAGAAAGATTTGAATTAAGGAGCTCGTTATTTGACACAGAAGAGTAAAGCCCAGGAGACCAGAAGCTGGCTTTATTCTCATGTACTGGTGATAATAACATGTTTAGAAATGTTTTTAGAAAGTGCAACAATCAAAGCATTTAGCAACACAATTTTAAAGGAGAAAACAGGTCATATTAAGAATTCAAACTTCTAAAAGTACTTTAAATATGAAATTATTACATACGGTTCAATAAATGATAAGTGTTTTTTTTTAATCAAGATTAATTTGAATTTGAATGTGCTTTACTGGAGGCATCCATGTTTGTCAAAGAACACTACTGCCACCTACTGGTTTGAGACCTCACAGTGCGATATCGGCTGTTGAGCAAGTCCCAATGATGTATAGCCCAAATGTTGGCTACATATTAAGTGTTTTTTCTCTGGCCAGAAGTTCGATGGCAAATCC